GTATACATATTGCCATGTTCATAAACGGCTCGATCCAAAGCTCATTCACACTTGTACTCAGACCACATTTACTTAACACTGTTACGTAAAGAATCATTAAAGTCCGTGTATGGGTGTAAAGTTGAAGCACATCTGTAGTTTTGGAGGGGAGAGACAGTTTTTTGGGGGGCTGCAGGGGGCAGATGCCTGTCGAGGTCAGAATAAAAATAAAAAAAGCATCGAGTGTCTCCAGAGGCTCCTGTTTTAGTGCTCTGTATTCATCCTGTCTAAAAGAAAATAAATTAAAAAAAAAGGGGATGATTGATACACAAAACTCTGTCGTTCAAGGGCGGCAAGCCTGCAGGATCCAGGAGATGTTGGAAGGAAGAAGGGAGTAGAGGAAGGTGGAGCCGGGGCCAGAGGCGGAGCGCCAGAGAGCTGTGCAGGGAGTTCTGAAGGTCTTCGTCGGTGAAGCTGCTGGATGCTGTGCTGGGCAGTATCACAGTTACTATATTAGCACTGAATTTGTCGACCTTGCACAGGCTGGGTTTTTTGCTTTTCTTGATTTCCCTCATCTGGGTTTCTGTTCTACCCTGTGCTTTTCAAGGAGTAGAAGCTGCTCTAGACTTAAACTCTTTAGGGACACTTGAAAATTTTCTAGGGTTTTTTGGGCAGTTGAGGCTGAGAGCTTTGTGGACCCTTTTCTGGATGTGCAGTGTCTCTCATAGTGAAAATGCTGTTTCCTCTGCTGACTCGAAAGCACTGAAAGCTGATAATATTGTATCTGTGTCCTGTTCAGTGCTCAGCCTCTCTGGCTCAGGCACCTCATGCTTCACCCTGTGAGGACTTTGGTTACTATCAGTCTGGGTTGGTATGTGATGTGTATGCTAATGCCATCAAATCCCCTAAATAACTGTTGATCTCACCTGCCCTGGCTTTCCTTTAATAAAAATCAGAAGAAAGAAAGAAGACACGAGATAAAATGAAAGTGTTTCCTCTGTTCTGTCAGTCCAGATCTCCATTAGGAACTGTCAAAGCTGACTGGTATTCTACAGCTAAATTAAAAGGTTGCCATTTTCAACATTTCTCAGTCAAAGATGTTTCTTGTTACAGGGAGGGGGCTGACGAACTTGCATTAAGTTAATGTGCTTTTAGTGCTCTGCAAAAAATACGAAAGAACTGGCATTTTGTCTGGGAAGAAAAGGCAGTAGCCTTCCCTTTTCAGAGAGAACTTGTGATTTTTCAGTGTGTAGCACAAGATGACTTAAAGGAGACTGATCTTCAGTGTTGTGGGCATTGGACACTGCTGTACAATGTGTGTTTTGCTTTCCAGCTGGGTGCCCAAAGTTTGAAATGTCCCAAATCACTAGTTACTTTGGAAACGCTGATGGTAGTTTTTAAACCAAGTGATCTGGAGCACATCTTTGTGCCTGTTACTTGCCCACCATTAGCATACATGACCTTATTTTCTGTCAGACTTCTAGAAGAACTCAGCTGGTAGGGATTTGGCTTCAGGTTTTGAAATCAGAATAATTTCTGACCACGCAGAGTCCTGTGTAACAAACACACCCAACAGCAGCAGAGCTGGGGCTGGTTCCTGGTTCTCAGTGCAGCTCAGTGGATCTGGCAGAGATCTGTAGTGCTTGGCTCCGTGTGCTGCTACGTGCTGACAAAACCAGCGCTTCCTCCTTGAAGTGCTGTGTGTGTTCTGTGTGTTCTTGGTTCTGAGCTGAATTTACATGTTTTTTAGACACGCGTCCTGAAGATCAGAAGTCCTGCTTACACAAACAGCTGTCTTCATCTTCGCTGTTCAGGTGAGCCTGTCTGAATTAAATTGGGCTTTTGGCAGGAATTTGTGTATTCTCTGGCTGCATGAGGTACATTCTTGTTTTCAGCGCTGAGGAGGTGGCAAGGGCAATATGAAATTCCATTCCCTTCAACTTGTAGTTTGATATAAGAAAAAAAACAAGTGTGTAATTATTTTTTTTTCCCCTCCCTACAGGATAATTGTTTTGGATCAGAGCTCTCCTATGTGATTAAAATGGGGAGTGAATAAATTCTAATACACCACCTGCCTCCTGCTGCTTGTACAGCATGCAGCCTCTGAACTGCAGCTCTTCTCAGCCACATAAACCATTTTAAAGCTCAGATTTCCTTTACCTGCTGCAGCAAGTACAGAAGAAAATCGAATGCTTTACTTTGTGACACAGTTTGTACTGGTTTTACGCCATCGTTGCACGTAAAGGCAGTGTCAGTAACATCACAGAACTGTTTTCTGAATACAACATCTTCAGGAAGCTGGTGGGTTTGTTCTGCCCCTGCACGCTGTCATAAGCAAAAGAATTTCTCGCTCTGCTGCATTGTGCAGTTTTCAGTGTTCTAGACAAAATGATTGTAATTCTGTGGACTGCTGTTACTGCTCAGGCACTTGTTAAATTTCTCCATGCTGGAGTGCGGAGCACTGTCACAGCCCGTGTAGTGTATGTTTTTCCTTGCTCATTAAATTTAACAAGGTAATTTCTTGTTTTCTCTTTTCTTAGTGCTTTTGTGATCTACCGTTGAACTGATTTGACTGATTAAGGGGATTAATTGCTGTGCAAAAAGCTAATGAGAAAAAGGCAATGTTCTCCAGAGATTGCAAGTGCAGCAATACATTCCCTGCCAGCATTAGACAAGAGAATGTGGTTAGTATTACAGAAATACCTCTTATTTAATTAACCCACACTTCTGGTATGCCTTGGCCAAAAAAGTGAAAAAAAAATAGTCCCTGGATATAATTGATCTTTGGATCAGGATTTTGATGGGAGCAGCAACTTCATATTTAACCTTTCTTGTGATAAATGCTGTTCAGATGCAGGAGGTGTGAGGATTGTCCTTGTCCCTTTTTAACAGACGCTGGATTTGAGCTGTCCTGGTACGGCCGGGTGTGCCACATGTTGCTTTTCTGTTCCTGTTCATGTTAATTTGGTTTAACAATACTAATAAAAGTTTCCAAGGTTATTGTGCTGCCACGTGGTTCTTTTTCTGTTCTTTTGGGGTTGTTTTTGTTTGTTTGTTAGTTTTTTACTTGTTATTAACTACGTTTCCCATCACCAGACTGTGTTTACAACCAGATACCGATAGAGCTGCTTTAGGGAAGATGCTGCAAACTGGTAGACTCAAGGGAGTTTTCTTCAGAAGAGATCAAGCAGAAATTAAAAAAAATCTTTCATCCATGTAGCCGTGTCCTGGCAGCAGTGGAGCAGAAGTGCCAGCACTGAGGAGACACCTCAGGTCAACAGCAGTGCCAGTGTGTGGGAAACGGGGCTCACTTCTGTGCCTTACACAGTTCTGTCCAGGCAGAAGTTCAGTATTTTCTAACCCAGGCTTGTATCAACTGCAGGTACCTGGTGTCCTCTGTGCCTGAGTTCTGTGTCCTTGCTGCTGACAGAAGAACTTTATACTCTTTATAGATCCTACTACCTTGTGTTACACCGCGGCCTGTTGCAAGGAGCAGAGGGTAATGACAAAAGCACACAGAAGTTAATTGCACGTTTGCTGTGTGATTCTGTCCTTAGTGGCTGTGACCCACAGCTGACAAAGAGGGGAGGGTCATTCCCTCTCACTTAGGACAATGTTTTATGTTTCATAGCCTCACTCAATTAAATAAAAAATAAGTAAAGCTTGTCGGACTGCAGCAGTGTGGTGGGGTGGAGCGGAGTGAGCACACGTGCACTTTTACATGCACGTAATTATATATCACTTGGGTTTGCAACATGTGAAATCTCCTTAGCTTCTTGGATTTCTTTTTCTATTTTATCTGTCAGACCAAATGGTGAGCAGCCTGTGAACCATTTCCCTATCTTTTTTTAAATCTTAATGTGGAGAATTTTTATTTCTGTTGGTAGAGAACCTTTCAAGTAGTCCCAGAGCCTGTTTGCTCTCCTTATCGAGGCCAGAACACAGCAGTGAGAGATTTCAGCTGCTTGTACTTTTCCAGATTTAAGTTTAGCATGAACGTAAATCATCTTAATAACATAAAGCATGGACACAAAAGCTGTAATTAACAGAGAGAATTAAACAAGGAGCAGTGAAAGACAGCAGAGAAGATCAGACGGGCCCATCTGATGCTGCTTTTCAGCTTCCCTGAGAATGAAAGGCCAATTAATTAAATTAAAACAGTGATACTGAGCTGTTCTAATTCCTCTCTGAGCCGAGAGCATGTGAGCTGTTCTGCATGTAGGAAAACAAGCGGAGAGGGGAGATTGAGACACAGGGATGGGGGTGAGGATGAGGACGGGGGATGCAGCAGTGCCTGTAGGTGCTGGATTGCTCTGGAGGCTCTTGTAGGATCCGGCAGCGAGTCTGAGTGAAGACAAGAAGAAAAGCAAATATCTGTTCCCTAAGCAGCCGAGTTGCTGCTCCCTTGAACCTGTCATCGTGCTGCTCCTGGGTTGGGTGGTTTTGTTTTGTTCTTGTTTTGGAGCAGAGAATGTCCGAGGGAAAAAAAACCAAGCCTTTCCCCCCCCAAATTTCTTCATCCCCTCTGCCATTCCAGGCTGCTGTTCTGGCTGCCTCTAACCCGGCTGCGGGCTGTGTGCTGGTGAGGCAATTTCATGAGGTGATGGACAACTTCCAGCTTTGCGTCCCTCTAACTGCTTCATGGGTTTGCTGCAAGAGCAAAAGCTGTGGAAGATGGCGTGAGGAGGAGAGGAGCAAGGCGTGTTTTGGGATCATCCCTGTGGACAATGCGCTACAGAAACAAAACTGGGGAGGGGAGAGTGAACCTTTAAATCTTGTGACTGGATCAGTCTCCTTTTGAAAGCAACTTAAGGATCAAATTCTGAAAGACTAATTAACGAGGAAGGCAGACAAGCTGCTGGCAGCGGTTTTTTTCTGATAGAGGAATTGGATACAACAGTCTCGGGGGATTCCTGTCCACAGGGTTGTCTAAACCTTGTGCTTAGAAACCTTCTCCTTAGGCTCCTAGATCACATAAGCTGCATCACAGCCCAGAAGCACAATTGCAGCTGCACATTGTGTTTGGAGAGTCAAGATCAGGTGTGTAGCTGGGGAGCCCTGGGGAGGTTTTTAGTTTGTTTTGTTTTGTTTTTTAAGTAAGTCTTTTATATTTTTCTTAAGAGCTTTGGCATCTTTGTGTCCCAGCCCTTCGGGCAGCAGTGGCTCTGCTGTGCCTTGTCCTCAGGGCCTGTTACAACCTGTGTTTTTAATCCTGGATGGGATAGAACTTTCCTTATTGCCTTAAATATTAAACAAACTGTGTAACTTTGTGTCTTTGAGCTGGATTTTTCTCTCTTGCCCTCTGTTATGCTGGCACATGTGGCACTTGTCACAAGATGCAGTAGCGGGAGGTGAAGTGTTTTCTGTCGAAGCCCCATCAGCTGGTAGAACAGATGCACGTGAACTTGTCACTGTTTATTAACGTTTATTAACACAATCTGCACTTAAACACACCTGACCTTGCACTGGACAGCAAGATGGGGCAATGCAAGGAGGACTCGGTCTGTCTGAGGATGGCGAACATGCAGCTCTGTCCCTCGGACCGCTTTGGAGGTGGTGTCACAGCCAAGCATGTTCAGCCTGACTCTGGGGCCAAACTTGGGATGTTTTGCATCAAGGAAACATTATTCTATTTTTTTATTCTATTTTTTTTAATTCTTAACAACCTCCTGACTCCCCGAGGAGAGGGGCTGGAAGGGAGGGGTGGTTCCTTAGAGCAAAAGAAAAGTTTGTGGTTTATCCCGTGATCAGGTGGCTCCTCTCCCATGAGAAGACAACGTCATGTCTTTCTGGGGAGCAGTGTGAGAGTTGCTGGGGATCTCTCACCCCCAAGAGCTCCCATCTCCTGGGCGTGGGGAGCAGCTGCAGCACCGGCCCCTTCTCTGTGCCCGGGTGGGACAGGCTGAGCCTGAAGCTGACGCTGGTGCAGGGAGGATCTGGCAGCATTAGACGGGGGGAGATGGTGTCACCTTATTCCGCAGCCCGTCTGCGGCGGGGCCGGCTGCAGCCGGAGCGGTTTTTCCTGTGCCCCAGGGCTGGTGGCCGCAGCACAGCGTTTCCAGCAGGCAGCTCTGAAACTGGGCAGGGAAAACATGGGTGATGGGTCAGGGCAGGAACCTGCGTCCGCCTCGGGACCGGGAGGCAGAGGCTGCGGGGTGGACACGTTGGGTTTTGGGTGAGATGATTGGTATCAATTCCCAGCCCAGCTCTTTGCAGACCCTGGAGGCTTATTGACAATAGAAGTTTCATTCTGTTTGCTTTGTGTGTTCAATGAGCAGTTTGGGATCTAAAATTAAGTTGCCTGACCCCGTAAAATCACAGAAGCAGAAAAAGAGCTCTTGGGGCTCAGAGGCTGCTCCCTCCCTTGCCGTTTATTCCCCAAAACCTTGCTGCTTACACAGCAACTCCTGAGTTGAGCCTGGGTCTACACTGCCAGACAGGATAGATGGTTCCTCCACATTTTATGAGACCATTAAGTTGTTCTCCAGAAGCCCCAGTGAAGCTGTGGTTTCATTAGCTAATGACTTTCTCTCTCACCTGTTTGTTCATAAAGACGTAGATGACTGGATTGTAAATCGTGGCGGTCTTGGAGAAGTAGGAGGGCAAGGATGCCAGAGCTGGCTGGATGGCGATGTCTTTGTTGGTGGCCACCACCAGGGCAAATGTGGTGTAGGGCAGCCAGCAGATGAGGAAGGCCACCACCATCACGATCACCATGCGCGTCACCTCCCGCTCCGCCTGCTGCGTCG